CTCCAGCAAGCCATGGATTTCCATCCTGCCAGCTCTGCCAGCAGGAGAGGTGGAGAACAGAAATGGGAACCCTTCCTCCATTCCATTAGCTGTGACCTGCTGTGGAAATTAGTTCCCTCTCAAAGATTTCAACAGCAAAGATGCACAGCAATGTCCTGCTCTGGGGAAGTCCTCCTGCACCACACAGATGGACCCAGAAACTCCCTGAGGAATCTCCACCAGGATTTCCTGCCCAAGAAAAGAAGAGAAGAAGGTCAGTGTGCAGCAAAGGAGACCAGGCATGGCAAGAGTCTGGATGGGTGGTGACAGAAGATGTCAGCTGTGGGGATTGCACCAAGGCTCTGAGACCCTGGAAGGGAGCTGAACTTAGAGGACAACAATCAAACAGTGCCTTGAACCTAATAGAAATCTGATTGTGAGAATTGGAAATAGATAAGGAGACCGGTGCACCTACTTGAACGGTTCAGACAAAAAAAATATATGTTGGAGCCAAGCAGAAAATTTACCTTAAGTCTAAAAGATACCATCACAAATTGCTGATTTACTGACTGCCAGCACAAACGAGCCCTACAGCATCAAGAGAAGAAGTTTCCCACAAGGAAAACTCCCAACATTTCCAGGTCTCCTCTCAAACTTTCAGCTGAGGTACCAACAAGCCTGGAGATTATGGAGATATTCAAGACTGTGGTCAGATAAAGGGATGCACCAAGGGGAGAGCACAGGAGTGTTTGTGGTTTGCATTCTGGGTTTTGAGGTGTGTGACGTGCACACCAAGAGTACCCAGAAGAGTGGGCAGTGTTGGCCACCGAGTTGGAAACACACGGCTACTGTGGAAAAATAGTGTGAGTACCTGGTGGGTGACTCTTACACTTGACATTCTGCAAACCCCTGTAAGTGCTGCAGCTTTGCAAAGGAAAAGGGGGGCAGCAAGGGGCTCATAAACCACAGCTTCACTTCACACCGGAAAAGCTGCGTGCTGCTGGAGTCTCAGCCTTGTATTTTTCCCTCTGTTTGAAAAACAATGCTTGTAATTTGAGACTAAATTTTCTAAATTTAAAAGACTAAACCTTCATTGAAACTTTCCATTCCTCCTTATGAAAGTGGAATGGAAAGTTTTAATGCAATCCTTCAGCGGTTAAGAGCAGCAAGAAGAGTCAGCAGTGCTGTGGCAAGGAGAGTCTGGTGTCACCCCTCAGTTACCATCAGTGACACCTCACAGGGACCCAACAGCACCTGCTCATCCTCAGGAACGTGGCATCAGTGCCTGGCAATGGGATGTCCTCCTGGAGCACTTGGAGACACCATGGGCAGCAGAGCAATGGACCTGTCAGAGCACAGTCATTTTGGTGCTCCTTCTGTGACTCCCGTGTCCCCAGAGGAGCTCCAGCCATGCAATACTGTGAGACATCCAGGCAATGTCTGCTGTGACTGACACTGAGAAACTGAAGAGGTTCTTACCCCATGAAAAAGCCCCTGAAAGCTTTCCACAAAATGACTGAGAAATCAAACATATCCAAAACTCAGCACATTTTCCAGCTCTGATGCCTCAGCTCCCTCTCGTTTCCCATTCCTTCTGTGAAATGGATGTAAGAAAGCAGAGAAAATGAATCCTAAATTCACTTCCTGCTAAGCCCTGATCAAAAATAGGTGAATCCTTGTTACTCTGTCTCATCCCTGCATGATTTTGTCTCTTGACTCCTTGTTCCTGTCTCCTACTAATTATTTGACATTAATTAAATACAGACATAGGCTGGCCCTAGTATATAAAGATAAAACTCAGTCATTAGCAACTTTGGTTGGAGTTCAACAGCAATCAGAGTCCTGTAACCCTATCTGTGAGTAAAATAAAACTTATATGTAGGTTTGGGAGAATAATTACTTCTACTTTCTAATCAACCTGTCTCCTGACTTCTCTTATATGATGCTCTGCACAATTAACTGGTTGTCTGAGTATTTTTTCTTCTTCCTTAGCCATATCATACAAGTGACACTACAACAGAAATTACTAACAAAATTACTAATAAAACATGTTATTAATGCTAGTGATCATTTATTTGGCTCAGGTCCTCAGTCAAACAACGACAGCCTATTCTAAAAATACTGTCTAGAAGATGAACAGCCAAACCAGAACATATGAAAATCAAGGAAATTCCTTAATTAATCTGATTACCCACCTTCTCCCCCCAGTTTTGGAGCTGGTCATCAGTGCTTACATTAACCAATCTGAATTATTTGTACAAGTGTTGATCTTAAATTAGAGCCTTTTCCTGGAGGTCCTGCTTGTTCTGGGGCTTTTCCTAATCAAATAGTTGTCACTGCAACTTCATTTTTTCTTCTGTGTTGCTATGCAAAATAGACACAGCTTTATACTATGCAATGCTTTAGCACAGAAGTCAGTAAAAAAGCGATGTGTGACAGCCCTCCTGCAGCTATATCCCAGCTCACAATATGCTTTTGCCTTGCCTTTAAAGGATATATTCATTAGCAGAGGAAAAGGTGGCCTTGCTTGGAAATCAACTCAGTCTGTGAGCAAAGAGGGCCAAGAAAAAGGACACCTCCACACAGAGGAGAGGAATATCTGGGTGCCAGTTTGGTACCCTGGATTGATTCATAATAAAATTTACTATTTGTCAGAGACAAGAAAGAACTTAGATATTCCTATTAAGAAAGGCAATAGCCCTTCCTGAATGATCCTTTTACTGTACAAGTTGTCCCAGCACACCCACCACCACACCTCTGAGGACATGCACTGCATGCTCACTCTACAGCTGAGTGAGAACCTAGAATTGATGAATTTTTGTCCCATCCTCATTGGCCAGCACATTCATTTGCATTGTACTTTTATTTGCTTTATTTAAGGTAGATGTCACAAGTCTCCCAGCCTAAGAAAACATGGATTTGACATATCTCAGCAGGCCTAACAGGAGCTTTCTTCACTCACCAACATGCATTGAAGCATGAGAAATAAACCCAGTTCCTAAACCATTTTCAGTGATTCAGTTCTGATCCCCAGTAGAAATGGCATCAAACCCAGCAGCACTTACTTTCTGACAAACCCAGGGAAAAGGGGCTTTCTTTGCAGAGGGATAATGGGGAAAAAAAACAAAAACAAAAAACCCAAAACAAACAAACACCAAAAAAAAAAAAAAAAGAAAAAGAAATCAACAGGAAAGCCAGGAAGAAAGAAAGAAAGAAAGAAACCAGACAGCAGCCCTGCCCCTTGCGGGCTGGTGAAATTGTTGTTACTGTGTGTGATTATAGTTCCAGGAAGCATCACCCATCCCCATGTACAAGTGGTCACCTGGAGGCAGCAGCAAGGGCCCTTTCCATTCAGGCACACAAGGGTGTTTTTCTTTTTGGCAGAGAGGAAGCACCAGTGGTGAGAGAGAGAGCCACAGGTTGTTAAAACAAATAAAAAGCAAAGCACACCCTGGACATTGGGCACTCACATGAGAATTCTGCTCACAGACCACCTGCCCTGCACAAAGAGATTTGCAACTGCAAAGAAGAATTAAACAAAGAATTGTAAAGAGAGCAATCAAGCACCTGAAAAACCCAGCTGTGTGCCAGCAGCACGTGTGCTTGGAGATAAATGATGTGTACATCTATGTCATGGAACACCTGTGTCTCACTTGCTGGGTAACAGTCTGCCATCCACCAGACCCCTTGAGTGTGTGCTAAAGAGAAGGAGGCAGAATCCCTGCCAAGAAAAGGGAAGTGTAGCCTGTATTAAAAGCTTGGGACTCGTTCATAACTACTGCTGGAGCTGCTGTGGATCCCCAGAGGGCTGGGGACAGCAGGCTGTGGTGGCTGATCATACCTCAGCCATGGGCAGCACCTCTCTGGATCTCTAGGGAAGCCATCCAGGAAAAAGCCTTGAGGTACCGTTAAGAACTGATAAGGATAAATTAGCCCAAACTCTGGAGAAGAAACCAATTTCTTCAGGAATTTTCTTTTCCTCATTATGCCACTGATGCCGAGCATCACCTCCTTACCCAAGAGGGTCCTGATGACATCACATCCTCCCCAAAGAGTGACACAGCCTCCCAAGCCAAGTGACAAAGATCATCTCAGCTCTGCTGCACCAGCCCCAAGCACAGACACCCCAGGAGAAGATGGACACGTGTGAGTACGGACACGGGGCTGTGCAGCCCCTTCACCGGCAGGGAAAAGCAAAACCCTTCCATTGAATCCAATGCATTGGGTGAAATAATTAAGGGGGTAAAAAACAAGTCAAAAGGGCTGACTTGGAGCTGTGCTCAGTGAGTTTGGAAGGAAAGGCGGCAGCAGCTCAGCCAGCAAAGGGCAGCCAGAGGGGTGGCTGCAGCACCACCTGCACTGGGAAGGGAGATTGATCCGATGAGCGCTTCTGGGAGGAGGGAGGGAGAAGGGTGGCAGTAAAGGGCCTCTGCAAGAAGTGCAAAGGGAGTCACTTGAGAGAAGCTGGGAAGGTGTAATGTCCCTGAGAAGGTGCTGGAAGGGCTGCACCCGTCTTTAAAGCCCGTGTGGCTGATTGCTGAGCACCCTCCATGCACCATCCCAGCAAGGACTCCAAGAAAACCTTCACATCATCCACACAGCGTGGCCCTCCCTTGCCATTTCTCCTTCCAGCCCATGGACAGGAGGGAGCTTTCCTCAGAGAACCCTTTGACTCTTCCCAAGTGGTTGCAGCAAGGATTTCTCTCCTGCAGGCTGCCCTGGGATTTTTGGCCAGTCACTTCAGATAAAGGTCAGATCTCCCAAGGACATCAACCAGCTCCGGGTGGGACAGAAGCTGGAGCTGGAGTGTTGGGCTGACAAGGACATTGGTGCATTCTGGATCCACCAGGACAAGAGTGGGAAACTTCACGCCATCGTCTTCATCAATTCCATTTCTCGAGTCACATTTCAGGGGAATCAGAAACGGTCATCTCGATTTGAGGCGAGCAAACACAACACAGTCTATTATTTGACAGTGAAATCTTTCACGCCGCGGGACCAGGGGAAATATTTCTTTATTTGACAGTGAAATCTTTCACGCCGCGGGACCAGGGGAAATATTTCTGTGTGATGAATTTGAACCAAATGCTGTACTTCAGCCCTGGCCAGCCTGTCTTCCTTCCAGGTCAGCAACACCTTCACCCAACCTCACTCAGTCCTGCCAAAATGCCCAGCACCTCCTGCCCGTGCCCTCTCCAACCAGCCATCCCTCCCACAAACCCCATTTCCCTGCTTGCTTGCCCAAGGCATCCTGTACCCAACCCACTGGTCCTCCTGCCAGAGGCTCCCTGCTTCCCACCTCTCCTCCTGGGACTGCCCCTGCCCAAAGGCAAACATGTTTGGGCAGACCCAGCATCATCTCCCCATCCCCACTGCTCCAGCCCACCCATGTGCTCTGAAGGGAGAAGACTAAAGCAAAGTCCACCACCATCCTCTCCTTCCTCAGCACACGCAGCTCCCAAAAGTATTACCAAGCTCAAGGGGCTCCAGCTTTGTGAGGATGGTGTCAGAAAGTGAGAAACAAGGGAGCTGCAGCTCCCTCTTGGCTCTTGGGAGACCCCATCCAAACTTGAGAGTAGAAGGGCAGGAGAGATCTGTTTTATTGTATGTCCCTACATGCTGAATTCATCCATTTCACTTACAGCCACCACTGTAGTGGCACCCACCACACCAGAACCCACCCCTAAGCACGGCATAACTGAGGACCCCAACCTCAATACTCTGGATCCAGGTAACCTGAATGCAGGGAGGGAGGGAGAGGGGAAGGGCTGGACTCTGCTCCAGTGACACCAAGGGGAATCCTGCAGGCATTTGGGGATCAGGAGGGAGAGAGAAGATCCACACTGCTTCTTTATCACAGATGCAAGGATTAAATTCCAATATTTCATTCAACCTAAGAAAGGCTAAATATGATGTAAAAAGCATGAGCATGCCTGGGTACAACAGCAACATGGGGAGGGAGGGTAGAGCCTTGGGGCTGCTTTTAGCCTCAGCAGGAGACATGAGAAAACTTTTGTCCACATAGCCTCCCTTGAGGCTCTTTCCCCAGGAAAATGGTTACACCAGAACTGTCTGTAACACCAGCTGTGAGCACCTGGTGGACATTCCATCTTCTCTATTCCTGCAGAGAGAATACAGGAAGATCTGAATTTCTTCTGTCACATCTTCATCTGGGTACCCTTAGCAGGTGCCTGCCTCCTGCTCTTCATTGCCCTGGTGATCACCATCGTGCTGTGTCAACGTAAGGTTCACCAAAACCCTCTCTAGATGCACCTCTGGCCTGAGACCACAGCCCTGCCCCTCAGGGAGATGTTCTGGCTGCTTTGGGATGCAGCCAATAATCAGGACACAGTCAATGCAAGGACCTCTGTTAAAATCAGTGTCTGTGTTTTAATCCTCATCAGTAGGATTAGCATGAGAAAGAATCATCAATTTAGAATCACACAGTCAGAAAATTATTTATGTTGGAAAAGACTTCCAAGGAAGAAAAATATATTTGAAAGAGACAGTGCTTATTCTGTTAACTGTCTTGTTCATAAATGGGTGTGTCAGAGGTTAAAGTCACAGAGCCTGAAACATTCTGACCTAACAGAGCAAATATGCTCCAGCAAATGCTGAGAGTCCCAGTAGCAGCTCAAGCTGGAACCAGATGAGAAACTTCATTCCATTATGATCAGTGAAAAGCTCTCAGCTGCAGTTCATTTCTGCAGCAATTTCCAAGCCCTTCAGGATGGATTTTTAGCTTAGTCTAAAATTAATGGCTGGATGTTTTATTTTGCTGAATCTACCCCAAAGTAACAACACAGAGGCTAAAATGGGGAAGAGCATCATTACCTTGTGTGCATGCAATGTGGCATCACTGCCACTCACCTACTGCAGAAATAATTGCTGCTGAGGGATTTTCAGCAATGTGACAAAATCACTGGGGACAGCAAACAGAAGTAATTCACCCTTAGTGTTCCCAGGTTGACCCTGCTGCTGCTACTCACCTTAAAGAATAATTCCTGAAAATATTTAAGTGCATTACTGGGGTAACATGAGCTGCAGCATGGATTTCCTCAAAAATAGGCTTGGTTATTAGTCTTAAAGATATCAGTTGCAGGGGAGCACCAGCCCTGCCTCACTGGAGTGTTTCTTTCCTGATCTGTCACTTGGTACCTTTCAACTAAAACATTTTCTCTCTTTTCTCAGAAACCAGAAGACGAAGATGCAGGTGTAAGAGGTGAGTGACACGCATTGACATTTTTCTCTTCAACTTGGCAACATCCCACCCTCAAGAGATATAGCAGGCAGGTGCCAAAAAAGCAACCTAAAAATTCTTCATCTGATAGAAGATGGTTGGGAGGGGCCTGAGCGATGACTTAAGGGCAAAAATGGAACAGAAAGTTCTCCTGTCTGTTTTTTGGTTTTGTTTGGGGCTTTTTGTCTGTTTGGGCTTTTTGTTTGGTTTTTCAACTATTAAATTGTTGAAGTCATTGAGCTCTGACCCTGCAGCAGATACAAAACAGAAAAATAGGTGTTTGTGGCAGCCCAAAAGCTTTGTGCATCACCCAGTGCTCATAACTAACTACATTTCTGTGCTTCCAATGCACCATTCCCAACCTGAGCTTGGGGGTGACCACATTTCTTCTCTTCCCCTCCCCAAACCATTCAATTCCAGTACTGCATATTCAGATGTCCCCATGGATGGGGATACATGTAAGTTCCCGCATCCCAAATCCCGCTCTGCACCATTTGGGACCCGCAGCACCAAGGTTTTCCTGCCTCTGTTTCCCCAACAGGCACTAAGGAACAGTAGCAGAGGGGCTGCTGCAGCCTTGAATGACTCCTGAGAAACACCAGTGCAGACAGGAACAGACTGAGGGGTAACCCAGTTCCTAGGGCACACAGGAACCTTTCCTTTATGCTTCCCCTCCTGCCCACCCCTCACCCCGGGTCACCAGGAAAACACAATCAGAATGAGAGTTGCAATTTCCTGGTTTGGAAGAGGAATTGTTTTTTGCCCACACGCATTTTGCTTCTGCAAATCGACCTCCCTGCAGCTGGTTTGCTCACCTCTCCTGCTCTGCAGGAAACCACTTCTGCACTTCTGCAAGCCTTGTGTACCCTGGGGCTTGTGGCAAGAGAGACACCAAGAAGTCCCCGCTACTGCTCAAGGGAAGCCAAGGTTGGGCTAGTGCTTGGAACAGCTGGGTTGCCAAGAAACTTTGGAACAGCATGTTCACATCTCTGGAGCCTCATTCTTTGCCAATCAAAGCACCTTTAAAATCAGATAAATTCCTGTTCTTTGTTATATATCCATGGGGTTTTTAGCACAAGAGGTAACTGCCATTTAGTTCTCCAAATTAATACCAACCTTCCCCAACAGTAGTAGAAAATGAATCCCTACAAATTTATTTTTCTTTTAAAGGCAGGTTGCATTTTTTTAAACTGTCTGTTAAATGGAACAGACAGTCATTTTCACAGGGGATATTTATTACACCCAGTGCTTTCCTGATCCTCATCTGCCTTTCCAGGGGAGAAATGAAAAGGAAGAGCTCTTCAAGTGGCCTTGTTCAGCAGAATGTTTGCATTTTTCACTTATCTCAACCCCCTCTGCCAGCTCTGTGCAAGGATGTTCTGTCTCTGTGGGGAGAAAAACACCCTGCAGAGCTCTCCCACTTTGCCCTGATGCAGTGGTTTTAATACAGGGGCCTCAGGAAATCACTTCCTCAAGGATGGCTCTCCTTCAGCAGCCCTAAACATGACAGAGCTCTGGTTTTAGCTATTGTACCATATTCCAGTTTTGATTTAGAGAGGAAATTCCTGCTGCTCTGAGCAGCTCCTGCTTAGTGAAAGGAAGCTCTTTGGAAATTAACAGCACAATTCACTCCCTTAAAGAGCACCCCAGGATCTGGCCTGCGATCATTGCTGGCAGCAGAAGGATTCATTTTCCACCACCAATTAATCCTCCCTGAAAAGGGGTGCCAAATCCCCAACTCATCAGATCAGCATAAAACTCCCAGTTGATGGAGACAGCCATTTCTATCATTTTGGGTGCACGCTGTCTGTCTGGAAAGCCTCTTTTCAAACTTCTCTGCAGGCAACACATTCCAACAAGAAAAAGTCTCTCTGAAATGATAACACCCTGTCTAATTAAAAAAACACCCTGCAAACCCTGAGCTCTTCTTTCATCATTCCTTTTGGAATGTAGAGGAAGGCTTAATGAGAGGAGAGGAGTGATCAGAAGTCAGAGGTAAATTTAAAAAGCCCACTTTATTTTTTAATCAATGTTAGATTTGACCACCAGTGTATCTTGTGACACAACCTTCTTTTGTCAGTCACTGCTTGAAATGGTGGCAGATCATTCACTTGCACAAACGGGATTTAGGAGCACTTTGCAGCCTTCTCTGGGAGTTCCCTGGCTACAACCCAAGGCTAAAGGAGCCTGAATTTCCTTCTTGTTCCTCTCCCACCTGAGTAAACCAAACTCACTTCTCTCTCCAGACCTGCAAATGCGAAGCCCCCCGTAAAACCCAGGACACCAAACTAACACGGATCAGCATCTGCTCCTTCTGGCTTCTGGATCTTCTCCTGGGAGCTGTCAGCACAGAAATCCATCTCCTACCTTATCCACAATGTCACTGCACCTCACCCACTCTGCCCTGACAGATTTGAAGAGACAAGAGGGAGCACAGACAAGAAGCAGCACTTCCCCGAGAACTGTAAAGCACAACTCCTTCCAAACCCCAACCTTCTCTGGGCAATTCCTAAGGCCAAAGGCCACCTCTGTTCCCAGGCCACAGGCACAAGAACCAGGCCAATCCAGGTGCTGACATGCCTCAGTGAGGAGCTGATGAGAAATAAGGACGTGAGCTGGACCTTTGCTCAAGGCTGTGTGCAATTTCCTCCCAAAACGCATCCAGAGGTGGAATTTGCTACACAAAGAAATAATTATCCCCACCCAACACATCTTCTTGTTGTGGTGCCTCCCTACCAGGGCTTTTACTGTTTCATGTAATGGAATGCAAGACTGCACTGAGAAGCTAAATATGGATTAAAGGCCCTTACTTTTGAGGTTTTTACGGTTCTGGGGGCTAAGGTTCACTGTTCCCCTCACACTGTCCTTGTTCTGCTGCTACCCCCAATCCACCTATTTCTGCAGGAGTTTGGCCTGAGTAAGGAAAGTGGGATTTGCTTTCTTTCTGAGGGAAATGCCTGAGTGATTTAAAAAAAAAATAAATCTTTGTCACTTGTTTTGGTTAAGCAGAATATTTAACATGTTGATATTCTGGGGACATGTTATGGACTACTGTAAATTCTGTTTTTTTCAGATCTGTATTTCATGTAAATATTTCCTTAGTATACTTGCATTTTAAGAACTGAAACATAAAATAAAATTATTCTAGTCAGATTCATGACCATTATTTCATTCTTTCTTCAGTTCCTAGTCTCACAAAAGCTAAAATCCTTCAGGAAGGTAATAAACAAGGGGTTGAAAATGTCATGGCTAAGGCAAAAGCTAGTGATTTATACACCATTCTGAACTTTAGGGTGCAGACTTCAGCTTCCAGCTTAGCACAGCCTAAAATCATCTAAAGGTATCTTCCCAGGGATTTGCTGATGGGCCCAGTAACACTCCCACATCCCAGGAAACTGCCAAGAAGGCGCCTGAGATAAAGAGTCTGGAATTCTTGTCACGGGGCTGATAAAAACCTGGCAAAAAAAAGAGTGGAAGAAACCCTTTGATAGTCTCCTCCTCTGTAAACAAGATGGGAAGGAGAGAAAATCAGAGAAAAACAAAGTTCTTCCAAACTTACTTGTTTGTAAGAATTAAAAAGAAATAAAAAATAGGGAATAGGTAAGCATATCTAAACAATAGTGGGAAAGTACTGAATGACAACTCCACAGAACTACACAAATTATGAAGAAAGAAAAATAACAGAAACACCCCAACACTGAGGCTATGAGATCAATTTAATTATTGGATGGTCTTGAGTTAGTGTAAGCTAAAAATTTTCACTTAAAAAGGTATCACTCAAAGTGTTTCTGCCAAAAAGCTATAGGTCTTTCCTCATATTCTCATATCCACTTTTTCACATCACACAACACACCACGTTCCTGTAGCCCAGGCACAAGTGCAGGGTGCTCCTACTCTGGGACTAACCCACACACCCAAAACAGATGAAGAAATAGAAGCAGGATCTGTTTGCTTTGGGAATTTTTATTTGTTTCAGAGGGCTTGTTTGCTATTTCAGAACACACCTGATCATTTTTAAGTCCAGTGCCAAACTCAGGAGGCTCTGGGATGGCTCCTGCCTCCCTCAACACATCTTCACACAGATCCTCCAGCCCACCCTCTGCAGGGCACAGCTCACACAGCATCAGTGACCCTCACACATCTCAGCAGCCCAGCAGCAGCTTTCCCCACTCACCAACACACTTTGATGGCCAGTGATATAAACACAGTTCCTAAACCATTTTCCATAACTCAGCTGTCAGTGGCAGCACAAACAGCAGCACCTGTATTCTGACAGACCCAGGAACCAAGAGGCTTCTTGGCAAAGTGTTAGTAATAAAAAAAAGAAATTAAACAAAAAACTTTACACAGGAAGATAATCAACAAGAAAGCCTGTGTGTGCAAAGTTCCAGGAAACATCAGCCATTCCCCTGTGCCAGGGTCACCCAGAGGCAGCAGCAAGGGCCCTCTCCTCTGGAGCACACCACAGGGCAGGACGGAAGGAACCTGTGGTGAGGCAAAAGAACCACAATAAGTAGATAAAACAAAGAAGCAAATCACAAATTCTGGACTGAAAACTCATTTATTCAGAAATTCTTTTTTTCCTCGATGTTTTGCCACAGATGCCAAGAATTGTCATTTTACCCAAGAGGGTCCTGATGACATCACATCCCCCCAAAGAGAGACACAGCTTCCCAAGCCAAGGTAAAAAAAAGATAATCTCAATGTGCTTCACTGTCTCTGAGGACAGACACACCAGGAGAAGAAGGCTGGGTCATCTCATGCTCTGAGTAGCAGCCCCAATAGCAATGGCATCCAACTCAGCAGTGTCTGGCTTCTGACAGACCAAGGAAGAAAAGGAGATTCTTTGCAAAGCTGTAATAAAAAAAACCCCTCACAGAGAAAAGAAATCAACAGGAAAGTCAAGAAGAAAGAAATAAATCAAACACCAGCCCAGCCCCTGGCACTCTAGTGAAATGCTTCTTTCCATGCATGCAAAGGTCCAGGACGCATCACCCATGCCCATGTGCAAGTGGTCACCTGGAGGCAGCAGCAAGGGCCCTCTCTGGTGAAGTATAAAAGGGTTTTTTTAAAGAGCAGAATACCCTGTGGTTAAAGAAGAGAACCACAAGTTTTAAAGACAAAGAAAAGGCAAAACACTCACTTGTGCAAGGGGCAGTCTCAACAGGTTCCAGTTCCTAGACCAGCAACCTTGCATGAAAAGGCTTTTTACTGAGCAATAGCCATGAAGAACAGAACAAAGTGCGATGAGAACAATAAAGACTCATCTGTGTGCCAGAAACCTGTGCTTGGAGACAGACAATACATGTGGATCTACACCATGAACACCAGTGTCACTGTGGCTCTGCCATGCACACGACACTCCATGAATGTGCTCAGGAGAAAGAGGCAGAATCCCTGCCAAGAAAAGTGTTCTAAAGCCTGTACCAAAGGATGGGGCTGGTCTGTATCTTCTGCACAGAAGCTGTGGGGAGGGAGCAGCAGGCTGTGGTGGCTGATCCTACCTCAGCCATGAGCAGTGCCTCTCTGGATCTCTAGTTAAGTCACCCAGAAAAAAATCCTTGAGGCATTCTAAGAAATGATGAGGTTAAAGGGACCCAGATTCTGGATTTGAACTGAATGCATCCTGATGTTGGGGTCCTGATGACATCACATCCTCCCCAAAGAGTGACACAGCCTCCCAAGCCAAGTGACAAAGATCATCTCAGCTCTGCTGCACCAGCCCCAAGCACAGACACCCCAGGAGAAGATGGACACGTCTCCTGCCCTGCTCCTGCTGCTGGCTCTGGGATTCTGTGAGTACGGACACGGGGCTGTGCAGCCCCTTCACCGGCAGGGAAAAGCAAAACCCTTCCATTGAATCCAATGCATTGGGTGAAATAATTAAGGGGGTAAAAAACAAGTCAAAAGGGCTGACTTGGAGCTGTGCTCAGTGAGTTTGGAAGGAAAGGCGGCAGCAGCTCAGCCAGCAAAGGGCAGCCAGAGGGGTGGCTGCAGCACCACCTGCACTGGGAAGGGAGATTGATCCGATGAGCGCTTCTGGGAGGAGGGAGGGAGAAGGGTGGCAGTAAAGGGCCTCTGCAAGAAGTGCAAAGGGAGTCACTTGAGAGAAGCTGGGAAGGTGTAATGTCCCTGAGAAGGTGCTGGAAGGGCTGCACCCGTCTTTAAAGCCCGTGTGGCTGATTGCTGAGCACCCTCCATGCACCATCCCAGCAAGGACTCCAAGAAAACCTTCACATCATCCACAC